CCAAAACATCTTCAGTTCTTTCATTCATCCTCTTCTTTAAAAACAATATTCTTTGAGAATTTCATGCATGCATACAATTTATTCTCAGTGTATTCAGCTCCCATTGCCTCTTCAACTCCTCCCAGAATCCCCCATGCCCTCTTCCCAACACCGTGTCCTTTTCTTTTTATAATTCACTGAATCCAATTAATGCAGCCCATATGCACATGGATATGGGATCATCCACTGGAACATGGACAGCCTACCAAAGACTAAACTCCTAGAGAAAACTGACTCTCCCTCCTCTAACAGCCACCAACTCACAAGAGCTCCTCAGTTAGGTAGGGGTGAGGGCTCATGTGCCCCTCCCTTGTCCACGCCAGAATGTTGACTGGCTTGATCTTATACAGGTCCTGTGGGTGTAATGGTCTTGTCATGGACAGGGGACACTGTTCAGCAGTGTTTACTCCTGACTTCTGGCTCTTACAATCTTTCCACTCCCTCTTCTTCAATGCTCTCCAAGTCTGCTGGGATGGGTGTGATATAGACATCCCATTTACGACTGAGCACTCCACAGATACTTCTTCTCTGCACTTTGTCTGGTTGTGATTCTCTTTATTAATTGTTATCCACTGCACAGAGATGTTTTTTGATTAGGCCTGAGAGCTGCAGTGATTTATTGGTACAGAGATACACATTTGAAGGGTGGTATAATATGTCCTTTTAACAAATGAGTAGGTTTACTTACTCCTAGAGCCTATGAGGTAGATCACGGGTCTTCAGCCAGATTTACAGTACTGTGGGTGTAGGGCCTTAAATCCAATCAGAAAGCAGTTGGTTACCCCTATCGCATTCTTTCCTCTATTGTACCCATGGGCATATCTTGCCAGGCTGGTCATTATTGTAGCTCACAGTGTTCACAGAAAGCCATCAGTTCCTTTTCTTTCAATCTTGTTTCTCAGTTGTCAGTTCCTATTCCTCTGTTGCCTGGAGATATAATCAGAATCAGCATCGTCACAATTGCCATTGACTTTTGAATAATCTTTTCCTTAAGATTTGTGTGTTCTTATAAATCAAGATTTTTTTTAACTTGAGGAATGATATTGCTCAAAAACAGAAGTATTTGAATTGTTGCAGTCCTTTGATTCAGTACCACAAATGTAATGTGTGATTTCCCGTCGCTATGTCAATTGCTGTGTATAATACAAAAACGGTGTTTTCTACATTTCTATTTCTCATTCATCTATCTCTTCAACTCCTTGAAACAATGATCTCTGCTTTACATGACACACACCTTTAAAAATTTATCAAGTACTTTTAGTTCCCACCACTACAATAATGTTGATGTCATCCATGGATCTTTCTCTATGGCATTTGACAATGTGAGTGCTGTTTCATGCTTTGAAATTTTCCTACTAAAATTTTCCAATGCTATGGTTTTCTCCTGATTTTTTCAAATAACTATCTTAACCATCTTTCTTATATCCCTTAAGTTTATATATATCTTTTAAGTTTATATAAGTTTTGCCTGCTTTGCTGTAGGAAAACTTGAGTATCCCTGAAGCTTTGTATTGAAGTTTAATCCCCTGTTGTAAGATATTAAGAAGGCAGAAACTTAATGGACTATGGTGTTTAGAGATGTAATCTTTAGAAAGTAATTAGGAATGGATAAAGTCATCAGATATGGAGTTCTCTTGATTGTATCCTGGTGATTCTAGAAAGAGGAAGAGGAGGAGAGGAGGAAGAGAAGGAGGAGGAGGAGAAGGAGGAGGAGGAGGAGGAGGAGGAGAAGGAGGAGGAGGAAGAGGAGGAGAAGGAAGAGCAGGGGACGGATCTCATGCATATACACCAGTGATCTATTCTTGTCATGTGATGCCTTGAACTACCTTGGAACTCTTCCAGCAAAAAGACTATCACCAGATACGGGTCCTAGAATTTGAATCCCTAGAACTGAGTCTAAATAAACCTTTTCCTTAAGAGTAGTAGGTATTTTTTATAGTTAGAAAAAAATCAGACTAATATGTTTGTTGTATTTGCCATTGAAAGTTCCATCTCTCTGCATGCATCCTCTTTTTTTTTTTTTAGTGATTTTATCTAAAAGTAGCCATTTGCTTACCACAAAGCTAATCCAATCTTCATTCACTGATGGTTTCCTATACATCTACCTACTAAAACCTTGACAAATTTCTATCATAGGGTTGTTCTCTCTTAAAAGGCACCCTGATTGCATTATGAGCTCATCAAATGTAGTGATTATCCCTATCTAAGTAATATAGCCCTATGATTGCTAGTTCGCTGCTGAACTGATGTCAATCAAAAATTCTTCTTGCCTTTTTTTCTTCTTTGTTGAATCTACTGAAAAGTGTGTGAAGGCCCATTAAGACAGCCGTGTCATCTCTCAAGCAGTTTTAGTGTTCGTCTCATTCCTGAAGTGAAAACCCTATAATAACTTCTAATTAAAAAATCAATATCCTAACCCCTTGACATTTCAACTCTCTGTTCCCTGTGACAACAGTGCCACCCTCTATGTGCTCTGTGACTCCAGGGGCTGAGAGCTCCCTTGGGCCTTAGCTTCTACACTCCATGGATTCTTTGGGTCCACACTTTGTCAACCTAATCTTAATCCTGTAGAGCTATGCATTCAGATAATTTATCTCTCAAAAATTAATATCCAGTCCTGGTGGAAACACTACCACCTTTCTAGAACTCTGTTTTGCCTCAAGGAGTTCTAAATGTCAGCGATTGCGTGGCTATTCACTGAGTCTCTGCCTCAGTGATTCATGAGCATTAACCTCTTTCCTTATGTTTAACTGTGGGGACTCAGGTTTGCTTTGCTTAGCGGGGGACCTACTGGCTTCAGGGCAGAGGGTCTGATCGGCGACAGAGTCATAAACTCCGGGACCTGTGTCTTCCCAACAGGACAATTTATTTTAAAATTCAGGTGGTTTTTATACATCCCAAGGAACTAGCAGTCACGTGGGATATGGAAGTCACATACAAAGATTTAGGGTACAAAGAAACAGGACATTTAGTCTGTTAGTTGGCGCCAGAAGGATTCTTAAACTTTTACTCAAGGTTATCAATGCCCATCCGGTAATTTATTGGCCACAATGTTTTCTTTCTTAGAGCTAAAAGATGGTGAAGTTTTAGATTTTAGCTCAGGAGTAAACCTTTAACCTGGCCTAATCTCTTAGCCAGGGATAGCTGAGTTATTTGTTCAGGACAAGGAGATGAGCTAAGGGTTGTTGACCAAGATGCTTTCCCACAGAGCCAGGAGCCTGCACTTTTAATGACCAGGCCGCTTCCTACTGGCAGTCTCACAGTATTCTGCAAGACAGGGATTATCAGAGCCACTGTTTTCAGTGCCCCTCCCTTTAGCAGAGAATGCAGCCTGGACCTATGAGTTTTAGGCTCACCTCACCTTAGGGCCTGGCATCCTGGTTTCCTACATTTAACCCTCTTTCTTTAAAAAAAATTTATTGATTCAAGAAATTCATGGTATGTATTTTAGTCATATTCATACTCCTTCTTCATCTCCACACCACCTACCTACCCCCCGACTTCATGTCCTCTATTACTATTTGTCTTTTTTTTTTTTTCTTTTTAAGGTCTATCGAATCTAATCTGTGTTCCCCAAATACTCTTAGGTGTGGGTCCATCCCTTGGAGTCTTGTTAACCAACTTATCAGGCATCACATTCTTAAAACTGAGTTTTCCTTTCCCAACAGCTAGCTAAGGGACAGATGTTGAGCACTACACAAAGCATGTGGAATCCATAGATGACTAAGATACATGCGTTTTCAAATGGTTAGGAAGACTGTGAAACTTCCCATGGGAGGAACTATAAGGAACCAAACAAAGATCTAGATTATGTGGCACCCTAACTTGTAAACCATTGCTTGCATATTCATGCTTTAAGACTGCAAGTTCCTCATGGCAGTGCATGTCATCTTTATGTCATTAATGTCTTTCAAAACTATGGATCCAAGAGCGATAACGCATATTTACTGAATTAACAGATGAGTTAATGCCTGAAGGCAGGATGGATGGCCTGCAGCAGATGGAAGAGCCTCTAGCTCCCAGGATTCCTCTTGGCCGTCACACAGGGAGATCCTGGAGTCCCAGGGTGGGGAGAATGAGAAGAGTCACCTCATTCCAGGTTGTAAAGGGACTGCTCTGCATGCGTAGACTGTGCCTCACTTCTAAGGACATACCAGGTCCAATATAAAAAGGGCTCCAGCTCCAGGTTCTCCAGTCCTCAACCTTGCCTCGTGACAGTTCCTGAGTCCTCTGCTGAGTAGGTGAGTGCTTAGCATGGAAGGCTGGGAAGGGGGTGGGTAGGCAGGACTGCAGAGAGAGAGGACAGAAAAGGGCAGGGAAAGAGGAGGAGACCCCAGGGGAGGCAGAGCCAGTGTGACGGACTCTGCAGTCTATTCTTCACCTGGGCCCGGGTTTGTCTTTGTGCACAGTGGTTTGTGACATCTCCTAACTTCTCTTGGTTTGGTAAATACCTGGAGAAACAGGACCCTGAGTCTGTGACTACCTCAGCTTAGGACAGGAAGAATTGCATTGTGAGCAGGGAGGAGATGCAAGGAAATCCATAGGTGTTATGAGAGTTGAGACATGTCTGGGTTTCAATATCTTTCCCTAGAATTTCCTTCTAGGAAATGTTTCAGAGAGAACAAGTCCCACTACATGTGAAAATGATCAGTTCACTACAGGGAGAATACAGGGGAGTGCTGTGCCCAGAGTTTACAAAACCTGTATGAGTTGCTGTTAAGGCCTATGTCAACGATGGTCAGCAGCATTCACTGGTGAAAAAGAAATGTAGGAGAGCTTTTATTGCTCCCAATTTCATTTCATATTAGTTTCCAAATTCCAGTTATTGGACTTGTTCATAGACTAGATTGTTTTAGAATCAGGATCAAATGAAATCCAGAGTGGAGGGCAGATATATCTGCCTGACACCTGTACTGATGGCTTCTATATTTCTCTTTAGGTTTACTGACTTTCTCTTAAAAATGTCCTGCCAGCAGAGCCAGCAGCAGTGCCAGCCACCTCCCAAGTGCACCCCCAAGTGCCCTCCCAAGTGCCAGACCCCAAAGTGCCCCCCAAAGTGTCCCCCTAAGTGCCCTCCTGCCCCTTCCTGCTGTAGCCTTGGTTCTGGGGGCTGCTGTAGCTCTGGGGGTGGCGGCTGCTGCCTGAGCCACCACAGGCCCCACAGATCTCTTTTTCACCGACATCAGAGCTCTGGATGCTGTAGCAGTGGAGGCAGCAGTGGATGCTGTGGCACCAGTGGGGGCAGCGGTGGATGCTGTGGCAGTGGAGGCAGCAGTGGATGCTGTGGCACCAGTGGGGGCAGCAGTGGATGCTGTGGCAGCAGTGGCAGCAGCTGTGGCAGTGACCAGCAGTCTGGGGGCTGCTGCTGACCTAGACCATGAAGTGGTCAGACAAGCAGTGCGGGAGGAAGCCAAGTGCAGAAGACCTGCCCCATATGCCTCTCTCCTCTCCTGTTCTCCATGTGCTGGGCTCTGAAATACTGAAAACTTCCTGTGAAAGATTCTGTGTTCTGCCCAAAAGACGATGGGTCCCCTCTTCTTCTGTGTTATAAAATAATAAAGCCCTGTCTACCAGTCCTCACCAGACTTTTGCTTATTTTTCCAAGCATCATCTCCACAGGTCATTGTTGGCAACTGGGGTTCAGTGGTGCCCTTTTGGCACAGAAAAACTTGGTTCAAAAATGTGACTGAGGTCACTACAAAGAGTGTGGATAATGAGACCCTAGTCATCCTGTCCTATGTACATACAAGACCAGTTCAGCGTGCAGATTTCCAAATAGGGCTATCATCCTTTTCTGGGTACATATGAATGCTTTTTAAAAAAATTTATATCTGTTACTCTACTATGTTTATAAGAATTCTAACAGTATTTCTATCAAGGAATATGAAGTGAGAATTTAGAAGCAATGAACATGCTTCATAATAGTAAAATTTGGGAATAAATGCTTATTAAGAGGAAGCGAAATGGTTCCTTATTAGATACTTAAAGGATGGAGATTCAGCATTCAAAATGAATGTACTGAGTCAATGCCAATACAATGTATAAGTGAAAAAGTTATTTCCAAAGATTGTGTGAAGCATAATACTCTGGTCATAAATTGAAACCAGAAAACAAATGCTTTGGTGCTGGTGCATATATAATTACAAATAGACCATGTGCAAAGGAAATTAACATATGGATGAAATGTTCTACTTTTGTTGAAGAGGGGCAGGAGAGGCGCAAGGGACCCGTGGTTAGAGTCATGTTGTTTTCAAATCCTGCATTCCATTGTAGTGAGCTCCCGTTCTTTATATACCGTGATGGACCAGCCCAGACCGGGGCAGTTCAGTCTGACGGGAACAGGGTCCTCGAGAGGGTGGACAAGGATTTGGCGAGTGACAGACAGACAGACACACATGAGCTTGGTGAAAGTCTGAGTGCAGTTTTTGCAGCTGCAAGGTTTGAGATATATACAGCAAAGATTGCAAAATTTCTTCAACAGAAACCGCAGAACAGTCATGCTAAGATTTACAGTTCCAGAGATGAAAGTAAAACGATTTTGCCAACCATCATGTACAGCCAAAACACATTTCCCTATCTTATCAACCTGGTACTAGGCAATAAATTCCTGCTTTACTGTGGTTTTTACTGCCAGCCTTTCTCACACACTTAGGATTCTGCTTGGCTTTGTAGTTCCAGGTCAGAATGACCTTAAGCCACCAAGCACTTTCAACACCAGCTGTGCCTGATAGTACATTTTTAACTATTTGATAACATTCCTTGCTTATTTGTAGTGGGCCATAAGGCTTCTAAGTTACTTTTTAACTCCATAGGTCCCAGAAAGGCCATCCCATGTTAGGGACCTATGAAACCATCCCTCTCTCCTATCCTACTCTATTAGTCAGGGTTCTCCAAAGAAAGAGAACCAGTAGAATGAATATGTGTAGAGACTTATCAGCTTAGCTCACAGGATAGAGTCCGAGTAGTCCAACAATTGCTGCACCACACTGGAGAGGCTGAGAATCTGTAGTCGCTCAGTCCACAGTGCTGGATGTCTCAGTAGTCCCAATCCGGTGCTGAAGGTCTGGCAAATTCCAAAATATCAGCTAGTCTTCAGTCGACAGCAGCAAGATGAACTCACCAGCGAGAGAGAAGGCAAGCAGCAAAAAGCCTGGCATTCTACTCTGCCTTGGACTTTTATACCAGCTGCCATCAGAAGGTAATGCCCACATTTAGGGTGTGTCTTCTGGCTTTAGATGATCCAATCAAGAAGATCTCTTTCATTTCAGTTAATC